AAAATTTCAAAAACTCCAATCCAGATGGGCTGTTAGATTGGATTTTGTGGAAATGTGAATTCCAATCGTGCAATAAAACATTGACCACGAGGCAACTAAGGTGAATTCCAGTCTTGACAACTTTCCGATTAGGTGAAGATGTATTTTCGAGGGCTGCATTGTTTAGGAAAGGGCAAAACAACCATTGAACCCTACACAAAAACCATGACTAATGAGCTTCCATAACTCGTGAACAATGCAACAAACTCAATACAATTAATACAAGATGTTAATTGAAAAATTGCCATTCATATTTTTGGAGAAATATATTCAATTCATAAAAAATTTTCTGAGATGCCACAGCCAAAATCTGCAATGCATATACTGCCATTTTGCGATAGAACTTTATCAAACTTCAGATTTTGATCGGATTCGATGTAAATTTGAGCACACTTTCCTATTTGTTCATTTCTTGATTCCGCTTTCTTTTCATGTTTCAGAAGCTCTTTCTCTTAAGCAACAGATTCAACACTTGTAGGACATAATCAACTGATTCAACACTCGTAGGACCTTCAAAGGAACAGTAATTTGGGGAAAACTGTAAAAGTATTTTACAAATGGCCCGCTAACAGCAAATTGGACCACATGATAAGATATCAAGTTGTATTACATGAAGTTGTTTGTTTGTTTGTTCGGTTTTTTTTTTTTTTGGTAATAATAATCAGTATCAAGTGCCACGGGATAACAATGCGAAACCTTTCAACATCAAATTTCTTTTGTTTTTCATCTTGGACTAGCCACCATCACCCTATCAACCTACGATGTTGAAAGAGCATTAATGTAAACAATGGTTAGGTGATGAAAATTGGCTGTGCAATTGAAAATTAGCCTGAAAAACGTGTTAGAATGTCATTATGGTGCGTTTAATGACCACATGATATATAAGACACCATGAACACTTAAACGTTTCTCTCATCAGCTATATGGCAAATTATTATGTAGGACAAGTTGACACATAGATAAGATATTATGAATACTTAATTGTTAATTAGGTTGTCTCTCTAAATCAATCAATCACTCTGACGTGCACAGGGTATACATATACAATTACCTCATTCACAATCAAGTTTTATATTTATAAACTCCTAAATACCCTACACGTGATTTATCGCAAGTATACGAATCGTGAGCGAGTATAGGGTATTAAGGGTCGATCTCACAGAGAAGATTGCGATTACCGATGTTTTTCGAACCCTTTATTATCTAAACTACCATAAATATAAAATTAATGAAAATAACACTAGAAAGCTCCTAGAGATATGGAATTCCTTACTACTCTTGCAAGTGAAGTTATCGGTTACGTGAATGCTATTATCTTGGCTAGTTATGACGTAATTTCCTAATGTACATGAAACCTACTCTCGTAGTGAATCAGCTATACTTGTACCTAAACCATACCTACTCTCGTGGTTATAAAATTAACTACAATCTCATTTCTTCTATGAAATTACATGAAACAAGTCACTAAAGCCACAAAGGTGCACCTCTACTCTCGTGAGTGTACTCTCTAGGTTTATCACTTCCTTGAACTAGTATTAAATTCCAATTCTCATTGCAAATTTAGCACCTTTAGATAATCACAACTAATGGCCGGTTAATTATGATTAGAAAAGCAAAAGTGATAAATAACTTGCTCAAAATAATATCATCAAATAACCAAATAAATATCACTAACAAGATATAGCAAGTTCAACCATAACTCTAGGCATAAACTTCAACTAAACATGATAAAAACACAAAATCAAACTTGTATTATAGCTAAATATAAAATCAAATACAAGAGAGAAAGTAGTAGAAGAGATATCACCCTTGTCACATGAGATCAACCTCTCTATCCTGCTCCTTTATCTTCATCCAAATCTAACTATGAATACAAGAAAGAAAAACTATACTAACTATACTATACTACTCTAACTAATGAACTAAGGAAATTCTAGTGAAAGATACATTTTTGGTGAGTTTCTCTAGAGGAATGGTCTCCAAAGGCTGCTATTTATAGAGGAATCCAAGGTCAAGAAGAGTTGTTTCTAGTTGGCAAAATTAACTCTTGAAACTCTCTTGAGTTGTTTCTCTAACTTTCCAGCCTTTTCTTGGTCAGATACAGCTGGAATTGCTAGCTGGAATTGAGTTGGAAAAGTTGTGTGAAAGCAAGGCAAGTTGATGAGCAAGTTGCAGAAAATAGATGAGAAAATGCGACTTAAAAATACGAGACTGCAACCCATGTTTTCATTGAGTCGCGTTTTCATTTCTGCACTACTTCAACTGCTATTTTCGCGATGAAGGAGGCCGAACTAGCTATTGTGTAAAACATTAAAGTTGTTGGTATTTGAGTTATCTTTCCAATGCCTCAAGAATCATCCAATTTGGAGCTCTGTGGACTGAGATATGACCAAAATACCAAATACTGGTCAGAGCTCTGTTTCAGCTTACGATCACCGAGTTTGAGCTTCTATATTTCGACTTTTTGAAAAGGAAAACGACTGACCTAGACTTCAATATCTCATACGAAATGTAGATCTATCTCTTAGCTTTAAAATGGTATAAGAATCACCTCAATCCAATGCTTGTAAATCAAGATATAGCCAAAATACCACAATATATCAAAGCTGTGAAACTTGCTTCCTTTTGTTTTTGATTGCATTTCCTCTTTTGCGCTACATATTCTCTTTAAAACCACTTCAAATCATCATCAATCATCCAAATATCTTCTCAATACACTTCATTTGATGATTGAATTTTTAAACCTTCAAAAACATGAAGTTTTTACCATAAAAATCTATAGAAATGCAATTTTCACACTTTAAACCATAAAATGCATATTTTCATTAGAATCTTAGTTAATTAGCTATAAAAGTAACTAAAACACACCAAAAATAACTATTAAAGCACACTTAAAACACGTAACATATCTACTTGTCACACTCTATTGCTCCGCTTCTCCAACTTCTCTATATAGCTCCTTTCCTCTAAATCTCTTCCTCATCGGCAGGAAGACCATAGTGGTCTCTCTTCCATAGGTGTCGTTTTTGTCATTTTTCTAATAAAATCTCCCTTAAATTTTTTTAGTGGGAGATCTCTTTTTCTCCTAGGGTTCCTAGTGAGAATTTTGTTCTCTTAGGAGTTTCTAGTGAGATTTTGTGTTATTTTTCCTTGTTTTTTGTTTAAATTTGAATTTACTTCAGTTCTAGTTGTCAGATCTGAATTTATTTCAGATTTGGGTCAATGTCAACATATTTCATCATCTTTATTGGAAGTTACAATTGTTGATTAGTAGATTTGACGATTAACATGCATAGAGTGGACTGCGAGCTGCAGTGATTTATTCTATGAGGAGATGATTTTAAAATTGATGATACTTTTAGATTTGTTCTTAATTTCTCAAATCTCTTGTATCTATTAAATTGCAGATATGTAATTTTAGTGCATGTTTTATTTGCCATTAGGGCAATGATGTATATTAGTGGTGCTGGACGATTTCCAGCAATCTGTAATGAAATACTCCCTCCGTCCCACTTTGATAGTCTTGTTTTCCTTTTTCGTCTGTTCCAAATTATAGTCCACTTTCCCATTAAGAAATGTAGTAATCTTTCAAATTGTCTAAAATACCCTTATTAAATATCTTGTTATTAATACATTGTTATTAAATACTAACCCACTACATTGAATACATTGAGTTTTTCCAATACTAACCCATTAGCTGTAACTGATATTAATTGGCACTCTTCGTGATTAGCATAAGGGTATTTTAGGAAATTATTAATCTAAATTTATGTTTCCAACCAAATTAATTACACTTTCTTAATCTGTGTGAAAAAAAAATCAAGACTAACAAAACGGGACGGAGGGAGTATGTTTTGTTATAAAAAAATGAATACTTAATTGTTCTCTCATTAATTAAATGACAAATAATTCTGTAGGAGAAGTTACTACACATAATATGCATAGATAGATAAGCATAGAATTTGATAAATATAACTACTTAAAGGGTATAATTAATTGTATACAGAATACTGAGCTTTTCTCCTTCTCTTTTACTGCTTTTTCTTTTCCTTGATTTGCCTTAAAATTCTTTTCTACTGCCCATCGTACAAAATCTAGATGAATTAAGGTCAGGTCAGTACATTAGTGGTCTCCAGTGTAAACGACAAAAAAAAAAAAAAAAAAAAAAGAAATCACATTTTGTCTTTTAATTTTGTAGGAGAAGTTACTACACATAATATGCATAGATAGATAGGTATAGAATTTCATAAACATCATAAGTTAAAGGGTATAATTAATTATATACAGAATATTGAGCTTTTCTCCTTCTCTTTTACTGTTTTTTCTTTTCCTTGATCTGTCTTAAAATTCTTTTCTACAACCCATGGTACAAAATCTAGATGAATTAAGGTCAGGTTAGCACGTTAGTGGTCTCCGGTGCAAAAGACAAGAAAAAAAAATCACATTTTTTAGCATAAATGTTTGGATTGGCTGGTGAATGACGATTTTTGCAAGTGTACAAAATCATTCCCAGTAATAAATCGGCTGAAGCATTCCAGGGGTCGAGCTAACATGGACGAGTTAATTTTTTCTATTTTAATTATTATTCAAAAAAATAAAAGACAAACTCAAGAAATTTATTATTCACTAACTAAGAATAAATTGAATAGTCAAGTCACAGAAAATAGATCGGACAAAAGCAATCGGTAAGAAACTAGGATTTGTCGAATTTTATTCCAAAACTTGAATTAATTATCCAATTATTTTCCTAATATATCAAGAACTTATTACATAAAACTACCTTAGATTATCTCCCAATATGTCTAAATCGTACTCAATCAATCTCATATCTCTTTGGACATCACAAGCATTCAACTGAATCCTTTAGAAATTTAAGTGATTTGGATTACGGTGTACAAACAAACCAGGTTCGAGTAGGATTCCCGATGACGTCACGTCAGGCCCAAAGTTCGGACCTAGACATGGGTTCAAAACAGAATTTGCGAAGGCATCCGGTGCCATATTCAGTGAGACAACTCCTCATTGTCAATTCCTTCCCGCCAAGTACGGCGACGGACTTCCTTCAATCTGTCAATCCGGTGCCCTTACCACTAGATACTCACAATTTAAAAGGTTAATTTAGCAACTAGATACTCACAGGTCAAAATGTAATACTGTGTGCGTGGAATATGACAGGTGCTTATAAAAGATCAATTAATTTTCACAACGAAAATTTGAAGCCATGAATTGTTCTTTTATGCAAATATTTTTCTTGCATTAATAATGTATATATTAGTGATTTTTTATGCATAACGTACGTATATGAAGGGTTTTTTTCTTTTGATCTTTATATGTAGGATTTAGAATTTATATTTGACTAAGTAATTGTCGATCTGCACCAAAAATTAATTTTGTTGCAGGCTTTACATATACTAGTAGAATAATGTATATTCTAGCCTTCCCTGTTCCTTCCACGCAAGAAATTCGAGTTTGCTATGTATGTTTGTTTTTGTTTCAGAGAGTGAAATTTCTGAATTTTTACGGTTGAATTTGGTTTGTTTTTGTTTCAGAGAGTGTCTGCTGATGCTGAATGGTAACTATTCTTCAAACTAAGTAATTAGAATGCGAATAAGTACTGTTGGGCACATGTTGAATTTGGCACCTACGATGAACTCTTCTATAAATGGTCCATCATTCGGCAGCCAAAATCACCACTGCAAAACCCCTAAAACAACTCAAAAAAATATTCAACATGGCTGCTAGCTTACGACCCCTCTTCTTAGCAATAATAGCCCTGCTGATGATTTCATCCTTGATCAGGTCCTCAGAATGCCAAGGACTTGGGTTCTACTGGCCAAATACTGAGGGTGGAAACCTGGCTGACATATGCAACGATCATACCAATGGTAGCTATGAATACGTGGCTATCTCCTGCTTAAATTTCACGGACGATGGTGGAATCATCGTCCCGCCTTACTGCACCACCCTAGGTCCTGACATAGATACCTGCAAGGGCCTAGGCATCAAAGTATTTCTTTCCCTTTTTGGGAGCCCTCAACTTACTCCTGAAACAGCTCCGATAGTTGCAGCTGGTATCTGTGAGGCATTTTTGAATGATAGTTCAGGCCCTCTCGGTGCTACTGTAAATGGAATAGACTTCCATTTCCGAAGCGAGGACGGATCAAACAATGGTCTGGATATTCTCGCCCAGGCACTCCGGGATGATTGCACTCCGTACTTATCTGGAGCACCACTTTGTCAAATTCCTGACTATTATCTTGACGCTGCTATCAGAACTGGCGTCTTTGACTACGTGTGGGTGCAATTTTTCGGTGATCCTTCATGTGAATACAGTCCAGCCAATCCCTTTAACCTCTTCGCAAGTTGGTTTGGATGGTATTCTTATATAGGCGAATATAATACTACATTATTCCTGGGATTAACTGAAGATTCTGCCGCCGAGGGTTTCATCCCATGTGACCCGGAACTTCGGGTGATTGTTTCCTTACTGGAGATCTTCTTTCCCAAATTTGGAGGGATCATGATGCTTGAGGGCAAATTCTATTGCCCTCTTTCCAGTGCAAAAATCCGGTCTTATGTTAACTCTGATGTTCTGGCTTATGGTAGAAAGTCCATGAATAAGTTCCAAGCCATCTAATCATGAATAAGTTCCTCTCGTTACCTGCTGAGAGATGAAATGTAATCCTGGTTGTTTGCCAGTTATGTATAACTATGGGTTATGAATTCCCAAAATAAATAAAATGTTGGATGATAAATATTGTGCTTTGCGTTGTCTTGCATGAACAACTCACAAACTACTAGTTTGAACAACCATTTAGATTAGTTTCAAAGCGGATGAAATCAGAGCTTGTTAATTTTCTTATTAGACAAATTTTTCAATGGATTAAAGGTAATTTGATGATGATCTTTGTTTTTTCAAAGCAAATCACCCAAATAGTCCTCTTAACTTTTTTTCTTGAACCACTTTTGTCATTTAATTTCAATTTGAGATATTGTCGTTCTTTGACTCTTGCTATTGGGTCAACTTGGTCGTCGAACTTTTACGCACTATCTTAAGAGGGGCAGAGTGGTCAAGTTATATTTTTTTACCACTGTACCAAGTCTTAAATTGATTAAAAAAAATGAATGCCTATAAATTTGCAAAACATGCCAATTAAGGATGAAAAAATGCTTAGGAAATTTTTTTTTTGGAAAAAAAAGTCCAGCTCAAAAAAATTTTTTTTTTTGTGTCAAACCGCATAACTCGTACACAAATCATATTCTATTCTACAAGACTGTGTGCATGGAATATGATAAATGTTTATAAAAGATCAATTAATTTTCACGATGAAAATTCGAAGCCAAGAATTGTTCTTTAATGCAAATATTTTTCTTGCATTGATAATGTATATATTTGTGATTTTTTATGTATAACGTATGTATGTGAAGGACCCTTTTTTTTTTCTTTTGATCTTTATATGTAGGATTTAGAATTTATATTTGACTAAGTAATTGTTGATCTGCACCAAAAATTTATTTTGTTGCAGGCTTGACATATACTAGTAGAATAATGTAGAGTCTAGCCTTCTCTGTTGCTTCCATGCTAGAAATTCAAGTTTGCTGTGTATGTTTGCTTTTGTTTGAGAGAGTGAAATTTCTGAATTTTTACGGTTGAATTTTGTTTGTTTTTGTTCCAGAGAGTGTCTGCAGATGCTGAATGGTAACTATTCTTCAAACTAAGTAATTAGAATGCGAATAAGTACTGTTTGGCACATGTTGAATTTGGCACCTACGATGAACTCTTCTATAAATGGTCCATCATTCGATCGGCAGCCAAAATCACCACTGCAAAACAACTCAAAAAAATATTCAACATGGCTGCTAGTTTACGACCCCTCTTCTTAGCAATAACACCCCTGCTGGTGATTTCATCCTTGATCAGGTCCTCAGAAGGCGAAGGAGTTGGGTTCTACTGGGGCCAAAGTCTTCATGATGAAAACCTGGCTGAGATGTGCAACAACAGTATGTATCGCTACGCGGTTCTCGCCTCCCTAAATTTGGGGGGTAACAGACCAGTCTTGAGCATAGATGACAAGTGCAATCCGAGCTACCCGGCTGGCTGCGCCTACCTAGGTCATATGATAGATTTCTGCAAGGGCCAAGGCATCAAAGTATTGCTTTCCCTTGGCGGGAGGCCTGATCTTTCTTCTGATGATGCTCACAATGTTGCAGAATATATCTGGAACAATTTTTTGAGTAATAATTCAGGCCCTGGTCCTCTCAATGCTACTGTAGATGGAATAGACTTCCGTATCCAAAGCGGATCAAACCAGAGTCTGGATGTTCTCGCCCGGGCACTCAGGAATTATAGCACACCTGAAAGAAAGGTGTACTTATCTGCAGCACCACTCTGTCAAATTCCTGACTATTATCTTGACGATGCTATCAAAACTGGCGTCTTTGACCACGTGTGGGTGCAATTTTTCGGTGATCCTTCATGTGAATTCTATCCACCCATTTGGATTGCATGGTCTTGTTATCTAGACAAATATAATACTACATTATCCCTGGGAATAACCAGAAATCCCGACACCGACGGCTTCATCCCATGTGATGATCTATTTACAAGGACGTTCTTTGTGGTGCAGTTTCCCAAATTTGGAACGCTCATGGTGTTTGAGGGAAAATACGACTGCAATTTTAGCGCTGGTGTACTTCTGGCTTCTGGTAAAAAGTCCATGAATAAGTTCTACGCCATCGACTAAGTTCCTCTCTCGTTACCTACTGAGAGGAATGAAATGTATAACTATGGGTTATGAATTCCCAAATTAAATAAAATGTTGGATGCATGATAAATATATATTGTGCTTTGCGTTATCTCTTGCATGAATAAAATGTTAAATCTATTGTGAGTTGTCCAGGAATAAAATGTTGTGACAGATCTGGACAACTCACAAAAATGTTTCGCTGCATCTTTTAGATTAGTTTCAAGAAATCAGAGCTTGCTAATTTTCTTATTAGACGAATTTTTCGATGGATTAAAGGTAATTTGACGACGATCCTTGCTTTTTCAAAACAAAGCACCCAATTAGTCCTCTAAACTTTTTTTTTTCAAACCACTTTTGTCCTTTGACTTCAATTTGAGACATTGTTGTTCTTTGACTCTTGCTATTGGGTCAACTTGGTCGTCCAACTTTTACGCACCATCTTAAGAGGGGCAGAGTGGTCAAGTTATATTTTTTACCACTGTACCAAGTCTTAAATTGATTAAAAAAAATGAATGCCTATAAATTTGCAAAACATGCAAATTAAGGACGAAAAAATGCTTAGGAATTTTTTTTTAAAAAAAAATGTCCATATCAAACTTTTTTTTTTGTGTCAAACCGCACAACTCGTTCACAAATCATATTCTATTCTACAATCAGGGAGGGCCTAACAAGGCATTTACAATTGACAGCTGCCAATATGTAGTAGCGACTAGCGACTTTTCTGAAAAATTGGATGACTAACGTGGCCCAATAATAATGCGGAGTAGTTGTGAGACAACATTTCCTCAAAATTTAAAGTGGATAGGCTAAATTGATCCAATAATAAAGGTTAAGAGACGATATAGACCCAAATTAAAGTTGAATTACCAAAAGTGGCTCAATAGGATAAGCGGAAGACTATTTGGGCCAGTTGCCCTTATTTTGTATATAAAACTTCAGTTGATCATTCAAACCAAACATCAAAGAAAAATGACCCTCCTCGTTCCTGCAAATCTCAACAGTGTTTGGAGTCATGTTCAAACACCGAATTATACTAACATTCCAAGACACAAATCTTCAAATAATTTAGAGTTATTATTTTCAATTCTAGCATCATAAACTGAGTTGCACAAGCATTTCATGAATTGCTGGAAACTAATTCATTTTGAATTCAACTTTTTTTTTATATTTATACATAATTCTTTTATTTATTTACGTGTTTATTTTGCTTTTTATTCATAATTGTTTGGGGGTGGGTTAAACTGAAAACTAAAGAATGAAATTTGAATATTGAAATTCTAAGTGTTCAACCTTAACTTACCCAGTTTTTAAAGTTGGGAATTTCGCCAATTTGGTCCCTAAACATTTTCACTTAAACCAATTTCGTCCTTGATGAAATATTTTAACCAATTTAGTCCTTGAACTAATTTTTTACTTCCAATGTAGGACTTTTCACTGCATTTTACCCAATTTGCGTGGACCAACGGGGGTATAATTGTCACACTGATTTAATCTTTTGCAATTAACCGACGAAACAAATTAGATTGAAGGTACTCGGTAATTACCAACTTTGTCATCCAATCCAAGTCAACCCGGTGGCTTCTTTTTTTTATAATCATCTTATTTCTGCGAAGAAGCAGATATCCTTTCTTTTACAATAATATCACCTCCACGAAATCAAAACGTAGAATGCACAACGTAGCAGCAGCAGCAGCCCTTCGGTTTCCAGTTCGAAGCAGTTGAAGAGTTGCAGTGATTGCCATACAACCAGAACGCCTCTGTGGAGAGGAGGTCCAGCTGGTCCCAAGGTGCATTATCTTCTTCTCTTCTATATATATATATATATATATATATATACTTGTAAATAATATCCAATGGTCTCTCAATCTCTATCTATATACTCAAGGCTACCACTCTTAGCATTTCTTGATAATAGAGTGTGTGTTTTGTTTGGTGGAGTATTTATTTACATATCCTTAGCGTTTGTTGTTGTTGCATCATCAGTCACTGTACAATGCATGCGGGATCAAGTACAACAAGAAGAGGAGGGAGCTTTTGGGACTGGACAGAGGTAGAAATGACAAGGGCAAGAAGAAGAGGAAAAGCAGTAGCGGCGGCAACAAGAGCAACGAAGGAGGCGGAGTGGGGCAATCGCTGAGGATGAAATTAATGGCGTTGGGAGGAGAAATGGTGCTACGGAGATCGGGAAAGCTGATGGGGAAATTAAGAGAGGAAGAACAAGCCGCTATACTCTTGATGGCTCTCTCGTGCGGATCTGTCTATGCTTAATAATAGTAATTAGTTGCTAGAAAACAACTTACTAGTTTAGTAGTAGAGTACAAAAACTCAAAAATGCTTCTCTCCCCAGTAGACCGAGCGAGTACTGGTAGGTGTTTACTACTTAAAACTAGGCAGGCTAGATGAAGCTGAAGCAGAAGAAGAAATATGTGTAAAAGCCCCCTTAATCTCCATCCAACCCCCCCTTTTTTTTCCCCTTTCTGGGTTCAACTCTCCGACCCATGTCATCTCTTTTTTCGTGATTGAATGCATGTATGCCGATTAGGAATCAAATATCCTTGTAATGAACGAACTGACTTCCTTCCTTCCTTCCTTCCTGAACCCATTATTTATTAAATTCTTTTTTAACCATTTTTGATCGACTTATCAGTCAGTACCAGTACCAGCAAGTAAATCTTCACCTGCTAAAGAAATGTCGAGTGTTGCTGATTTATTTCGATTTCTCGGTTTAATTCAATCCACGACGAATATTCGCAGTGCTCCGAAATGAGATGATTATAAAAAAAAGAAGCCACCGGGTTGACTTGGATTGGATGACAAAGTTGGTAATTACCGAGTACCTTCAATCTAATTTGTTTCGTCGGTTAATTGCAAAAGATTAAACCAGTGTGAC